ACCAATTCAAATGATAGCCTATTTCTAGAAATGTCAACATTAACACACCTAAATACAACAAACAAACAACAAACATTTTGGTGTTATTGAAGTTTACCCCTCCATTTTATTTTGAGTTCTTGAATCTACATGACACATGCTCATGAAGTATAAATGAAGTGTTAAGGAGAGTCTCTGTATAAGCGTCTTTCATTTAATGCAACATGGTTTGATCCTCATCCAGCAGAGGTCCCTGTTTGACTGCTAAAGGCAGATCCTCTGCTATTTATCACACTGGATTTCCACCCTAATACATTTAAAATTAACATTTAGGCCATTTCATTTTCCTCATATTTGATGTGTAATCTGTAACTTTTGTCTTCTGTGACTAGTGTTTTCTCCTCTATCAGATCAGGAAACACAAAGAGCCTAAAACTAAACCCTTAAGGCATCACAGCTAAGCCCATTTCAACTTAAACCGTGTACCACGGTGTGGTTTTGGCTTTCAGCACAGTAGACACCCTGCTGACATAATGCATAGGGTCTGATTTAACAGGCAGTATATCATCCTCCGAGAGTGAGGGGGATGTGGCAAATGAATGATCTATTTAGGACATGCCGTGTCAGACAGATCCATTCAGCTTCACTTGTGGGTGAGCCTTCACTCACTCTCCCAGTTATAAGATAACCACAACAATGAGTTTGCTGTCAGTCAGGTGAGATGTGAAAAATGTAAAGAGATGTCTCCAATCTCTTTCAGATAATTACACAATCATGGCAGCTTCAGATAGTGTGTGTGTGTGTGTGTGTGTGTGTGTGTGTGTGTGTGTGTGTGTGTGTGTGTGTTTGAGAGAGAGAGAAAGATAATGCATTTGTGTTTTTTACCAAGAACTTATTCAGCATGATCTCACCATGATTGGCTTCGCTCTCATTTGCCAACATTTACGTAAACTAGGAACTGGTTTGCTCTGGGCCACCAGCAATTTTCTTTTAGTAAATCTACAGTAAATCAGCATAATGTGGTTTGCTGACAGTGCCAGCAATTATAGAGCATAGTGTGACGTCAAATGGCTCTGTAACAGAACATTTTGTTTCTTGAAGAAATGCAGCGGGCGCAACTGTAACGATGCCAGCGTGACCTCGCCACCTCTCGAAATGAACCTGTTAGCCTGGCCCAACCCCAGTGAAATTGGGAGAAGGAGTGTGTTCCTCCACGATGAACAGAGAGTTGTGTGTGAGCTTTAGAGGCCTCATCTTTGTCAGAAAGTCTGCAACACACACCCCTGAGAAGAGTCACAGAGGGTAGTGATAGTGAGACGTAGAGGGTGGGCGGTTTTAAATGCTGGCAGAAATGAGATTCCAGCTGTTGGGTGGTACTTTGAGAGGAGGGTGATTGCATAGCTGTGTGTTTGGTCAGATAGCAAGGCAGAAATATTCCCCCTTTCTGGGCTTGGCCACCTCAGGGGTGAGGCTGATAGAAATGAAAGCCAATTTAGCAGCATGAGTCGCTCCTGTGATGCAGATCTGCTCTACAGGGTTTGAGGGAAGGGAAGTCTGAGTGCATGTGTCCCTGATCTGTTTGTTTCTTCATTACATTGTTGTTTCAATGTTGTTTCTTGTTTTACAGAGAATTCTGGACCAGATCCTGCAAAAATAAATGGGAGACATCGAAAGGCAAACAGGGATAATACACTGGCCATTCTGGCTCTTCACTTTCCTCCATGTATGCTATGCCTGTGTTTATGTATACATTTGATTCTATCTCAATTTATGTTACCATGAACATGATGCCATATTCATTCAGCATGTGTCTGTGCTCATTGTATCCTGACTGCTTTACAATGCAAAGTAATGCAACAGTAGAAACAAAACAATTGAATTTGGCAGACATTGTAAACAAGATTTTGCTGTCAACAGAGTGACAGGAACATGTTTAGAGTAGTTTTCTCACCAGTTTTTGACTTTATTTTGATACCTTACGTAAGACCCATTTGTATATTTCTGTCTATGCCACATTGGCTAAATATGGAGAAATGAGCATTTTGTGGACCAAAATGACACTTCAAAGTATGATATAGATGAACATTTTATATGATGCATATGCTTATGAGTGTTATTTTGGGCAGACATTGACAAAGCTCAACCTTCTCACCTACCACCCACACACTCCTAATTAAGAAATGGTTTTATGTTTGAAATATTAAAGTGATGAAATTCTAAGTTGTCTTTCTCGCTCACACTGAATGATGAAACACAATACAGATTATTCCTATAATTTTCTCATTTCCTTAGTGATTTGATTCCTTATCTATAAATTTTTTTTCCTCTAATGTATCTCAAGATGAAATAAAAACATTCCAAGGACATTCTGTATAGAAATAGTGTCATTTTCCAGGAAATTGTAGTCCCAGTGCTTTGAGCAAAGCACCTTGACTCTGTCATCTGTACACTACTGCATAGGTGTATGAAGTGGGAGAAGGGTGAACCATGTTTCGTCATTGGCTTCACGTCCGCCTCGAGGCCTCTGGATCCTCCCATCCGGAACACTGGAATTCCAACTAATCAAACTCAGGAGACACGCAACGCCCGTGAAAGGGGGGCCTTTGTCCGAGAGCTCCAAACCAGAGATGACATTGTAATGAGAGAGGAAACTTCTGAGCACAGACTGGGACTGCAGTCCACATATAGCCTGTAAAGGTGACTGACATATCTGTGGCATTTAGACAGAGCCTGCTGGGATGCAAAGAGACCAGGGGAAGGACATGTGCCGCAGGACTCAGACAAACGCGCAGTATAAATGCATACTGTTCTGGCGGACTTTTAGTGAGTGGGTTGCTCTTGACTAAACACTGACAGTGTTTTATATCCCAAACAAAATGCTCGGTTAAATGGCAAACTTTAGTCCGGTAGGCCTACTGTAGTTCAGTCTCCTGCAGAATGAAAATGATGGACCAGCTGCCAGGTGCTGCAAGGTTCTTGCATCTAGGTGGATTGATTTTGGCCCACAGCGAGGAACAAATGTAGTAAACATTATTGCTTTCCACTGACTTAAATGATGGCTGTGTTACCAGCAAGGCAATTTAAATAAATGATCCGCATGGGCGAAATGCATTCCTGCCATGTGTGCTGGTTCCAGACGATGAGCACAGACTGACAGGCAGTTGTATACGAGGAGAAGGACTCCTGTCAGTTAGCCTCCCTTTCTGAGGCATCGTGTGTCTGTATGTCACATCGGTATCTCTGCATAATGTGCACTGTGTTCTGTGAGGCCCCTCGCTCCGCTCTGACTGACTCAGATGCCCTGAGGGTAAGAGTGATATGTCTGGCTTAGAAAGGAGAACACTAGCCGAGCTTACACTGCTAATTGTGTACATTGAAGCTGTGACACTCATTATATGTATGTGTTAAGCCATTAGTCATTTCACTGGCACCCATACTATCTGAACGTCTAGCCTCATGGCCATCTCTTTCTAGCAGTGCTGTGTTTCAGGATTGTGATCTTAACATGCATACAAAAAGTCTTCCCATTTTAAAATCTGCTATATTTTCTGTATGAAATTGGTATCACTAAAGAATCGTAGGGTGAGCAACAGGCAAGAAAAGCAGGGGTGTCATTCAAACACACAGACAAAACAGAAACAATTACAGTTACAAGAGAAAATAAGGGTGTATTTTGGGGGGTGTACATTTTAATAAAATTCCTCAGAGAGAAAATAAAGATACACAGATACATCAGACACTGGGATATTATTTTTTCAATCAAAGTAACCTCAGGTAAAGCAGTATATTTGATCATTTTCTTTGCAGTTTGTAGTCTCAGTGGAGATGAAATGACATCTGTGACTTTATTTGCCTTTGGCGTACACACACTAAAAAAGATTAGACTAAACTAGATTCAGGTAGCCTGCCCTAAACACAGATGGGGACAGTGATGACTGTTTGTCAGAGTGTGTTTGTGCGTGTCTGGACACAGAGATGGAGAAAGAGACGATGCAATCTCATCCCAGTGGTATTTCAAAATGAGGAATGACTCATCGTTTTGATGGGCTTAGTACATTTTTAATATACAACATTCACACCGAAATTCAATCACGAAGTGTTCTTAGTTCATCTCATTACAAACCTCAATCATGACAAATGCACAATGCGCAGACAAGCATAGTTTAAACTCACACAGCTTTATTTAAAACATTGGTTCAAGGATTTTGAAAAAATAAACTTTTAGTGGGAAATAAGGGTTCAACAGGTTAAAAGCTTAACATTTTTTTAAATGTCAGCTTGTAATCCCATCAGTGTACATGCATAAATGTCATTCTACACAACTCATCACAGTGCTTCACACTACATTTTCCAGCAAATGACATTCCAAGCTTTGCCATAGTCAAACTAGGTAACCGCCTTGGGAGGTGCCCTTTCCAGAATCCACTATATCTTACAAAGAGTGAGTTTGGGAAGGAATCGATGATCTTAATCCACCATAGACCCTGTAGATCAAAAGCAATATATATATATATCTGCATATATATATATCTGCATATATATATATATATATATATATATATATATATATATATTTGTATATATATATATTTATATATATTTGTGTATATATTTATATATATATATATATGTATATATACAGTATATATGTATATTGTATCATTTTATCTGTGGAATCTCTTAAATCTCTTAATCTGTGGATATCCCTGCTGCAAATGAATATTTGGTACATTGTCAGGTGAATGATTTATGTATCTACAATTTTATTTCTGTAAATTGACAATTGTATTGAAATATGTTTAAGAGTTCGGAATGTATTTATTATTACACATTACGATACATTTGTTTTGTCTTTTTTCTGCTCTACACCCTGTCCTGTTGTTTGTCACCGTTATTGTTCAATAAAGTTATTAAAATATTATTCACTTAATCGTGTTTGAACCTGTCCGGCTTTAGGACCCAGCGGAGCCTGAAGCGCACATGGCGAAGGGTGGCTGCTCCGGCCCTGGAAGGGATGGCAAGTCCGCCTCACTACTCCCAACATCCTCTCCTCCTGCCTCTCCTATCGCTCTTTGTCACACTCCCCTATCCACTACCACATTAGCAACATTTAGCTAACGCATGTATTTGTACGTTTTTCCCCCCAGACCGTCACTCGCCGTCTGGCGTTGGAAGGAAAAGTTTTTGACAGCTTCTTTCTTGGAGCGACAGCCTCGGCCACATCTCGTTTGAGTCTCGGCGGCGAGACTCACCCCCCCCCCTTTCGCTACTACACCTCCTGTGAACTGCTATGACCTGTATCTCCATCCTGTCACCTGTGTGAAGTGTCTGGTCGTGCTGGTTCGTCTGACCGGAACGCTCCCTCCCTCCCCCCCTCCCCGCCCCGGCTTCACCTCACCGAGCCCGGGCATCATGAGGACCTGGAGGCGGCGGAGGAACTTTGCCTTTTTGCTCTTCGCTCTGCGCGTCTGGTGTCTGTCCACGGCGAGGGGAAATGCTGACAACACGGTTTACAATATGCGGGAGGGTGAGTAAAAAAAAAAAAAACACGAGTGTTCAAATGACTGTCATTAGTCATTTGGACCATTTTCATGTGAAGTAAGTGCTGAAGATGTTGAGCCAGATGTTGAGCGTTTGGACTGGATTTAATTTGTGTTTCATCCGGATACATACAGTCTGAACAGCTCTGTGTTAGCAGCAGGGTTACCTTAATGTAGTTTATAGAAATTCCAATTTGTTAAATGACTAATCTCCCTCGTTTTTATAGATAAGCTTGATGGTATACGCTTATAATACCAATGCTGCACACCAGTTTGTACTGTAATCCTCTTGCAGGGCATTCTACATTTGGAACATGCAGAGTGGAAAAGATTTTTTTTAATTTTTTTTAGATCTGTCTTTTTGCTTGGATGGAACAATACAGGGAAGTGTTGGGATGGACAGATGAGTTTAACATCCAGGAGGATGCAGCGTTATCTTTAGGTTGTAAACACAGACCAAACAGGATGTTGTCATTCAGCAGCTAAACCTAATCTGCTGAATGAATAAGACAGTGACAACCCAGCTATTGTGTTGATGGGACAGAGCAGGAGCCAGGATACAGGTTTCTGTGTGTATGCGTGTGTGTGTGTGTGTTTGTGAGTGTGTGTGTGTGTGTGTGTGTGTGTGTGGCTCTGCATGTACCAAGACAAAATGGCAAAGATAGAATCAGAGACATACACCCTTAGAGATTCACCCCCTTGTGAACCACAGCTATAGTCTATCTTTTAGGTTTTAGGTTGGACTGTGAAAGTGGTTTCTATATGGACCTTAAACAAGTTGGCAAGTTGGGATACAGCATGCTCCAATTATTAATAAGGTTAAATAAAATGACTTATCTCTTAATCTTAATCTTTATCAGGTGATTACAACATTGCATGTCACAATTAGAGCTTAATAAGTCCTAAAAAATGTCCACAATACAATGGAAATAGGAGTTTGGTTCATGGTCTTAATCATTAAAAAGCATGTAACAAAAGTGAATGGACCACGGTTCTTCTCGAAGTAATGCGCAGACTGTTGATTGTTTATGCTTTCGTGCTCACAAACATGAAGGCTGCATCATTAGAGAACCGCAGAGTGAAGCTTCCCTGAAACAAAACGACCCACGCCGGCAGAGAAGAAGTGGAAAGATGTAGTTCAGGAGATGTTTTACCACACGCATCATCTCGGTGTGGGGTCATTAAAGCTCTCACTCGGAGGGTTAGCTCATGTATGAATGCCGGGGGAATAAAAATAGTGTGAGTAATGAAACAGGCGGTACATACCACCTCTTTGATGTCAGCAGGATACTGACTTCAGCCTTTCTCTAAAAAGTTTTTATTTAATGGCCTCCATCCACCTCAGCGGGGGGTGCGCTGCGATGTCTTCATCATCCAGGACCAAGCTAGGGAGGTTCTCCTTGCCCATATATAGCGTGAGTGATGCTAGCTGAAACAGATTCTCAGACTAAATCAGCTAAAGTCCACCCCCCCAAAAAATAATAAATAAACCTCAGCCAAATCTGGCAGCCAGATCTGGATCAGAGCCGACTGACATTCAGTCCTCTGTTGACAGAACACATCCGAGCGTGCCAACACTCGGATGCAATCGACTACCTGGACAGAGTTCAGAAAGTGTGTTGTGTTAGTTACTGAAGTCAGTGGTGCGTCAGATAATAAGAATTGTCTCCCGAGTGTCGCGGTGTGTATGTTTTGGACATTTTTACAGGAAAAAAAAAAAGTGAAAGCGTGGGAAAAGTTTACAGCTGAGGAAATTTAAATGAAATCTTCGTCACAGCATATTTAAAAACTCTTCCCCAGCATAGCATAAAGCACAGAGGAGGAACAAAAAGGCTATTTATTGAATGTGCTTTACAGCATTTCACTGTCATATCGCCCGCTGCCTAAAAACGTAAAGAAAAGGTGTCGGGGACAAATCCAACCTTTCCTTTCAACATCACAAAGAATGCGTGAACAGATCAAAAGGTTGACTGGCAGCTCCGACAGTGACTCTCAGAATAGTAACACATTGAAAGATGGTTTTAAAAGAACCACATAAATGTGGGTTTACTGGCATTTCTTTCTTTGAAAGGATCTACAAAGTTAAAGTCAGGTGATGAGTAGTTGAGTTGGATTTCTGCTCATTAGCTTTCCAAAAAAGCTAAAAAGCTCAAATAAAACAAGTCCCATGAGGGCGAGAATCGAGCAGAGTGTGTTTACAAATCTTTGATGGACGTCTCTCTCCGTCTCTGCCTGTCTCTTTGTCTCTCCTCTGCATATCAACTGCGTTTCTGAGGGTCGGATCTTTTTATCTTCTTCTTCTGGTCAGAGAAAACTCAATAAATAATTAGAGACAGATCGAGATGACCCTGGATTAGATTTGAGGATATCATCAAAATGAATTCAAAAGATTAGAACGTCTCTGTTGTCTTAACAAACAGCCGGAGAGCGGGAACATATGCTCACCAGAGCGCCCTGAAACAAGTAGAACTTCCCATACTTAGGTCTCTCACCTGCACATTTCAGCACGGTTTCCTGGGACGTAACTCAAACCCGTCCTCCCAAGTCTGCGGTAGGTACGCTGACGTATGTCTGCCATCCCGGTTAAAACAACCCCCTTTCTGCTAAAGCCATTTAGGAAACAGCCTCACCCCGAGTCTGTCTTTCAAACCCTTGCGGGTGGCTGTCGCCTGACATTTTTAGGGCAGGCTGGCATTGATTTGTCAGCCACGAGGGAACGACAGACGCGGTTAGAAACGTCTCCCTCCGTTACGCATCGTTGGTCATTATAGCCATCAGTGTGATTTAGCTTCCTCCTGCTCATCATCTGCTGCTCTGCCCCGAGGATGACGGGATCAGAGATACATATAGTAGGTAAGCCGACTCATGCATGCATGCTGCTGTGTGATAATCTGAGAAACTTAACACGTGCACCTAGAATAATGCTTTGAACTATCCCGGATCAATGACCCAATGACAGAAAATGTGAGTTGTATCACGAATCTGTGAGGAGAACAACAGAGTTTGCAGACTGCCAGCTGCAGAGGCCCCGACAGACAGCTGTCAATCACATGTACCCTCCATCTGCATCAGCCTTCACAGAGAGAAGTGTGGAGACAGTCACCCGCCGCTCATCCATTAACAGACCGTTTCCTCTGAAATCAAAAAGAAGAGCCACCGCCTTCGCAACATATTCGTGAACATCAATGTATGAATGCAGCATGAAGGCAGATATCGTATTTACAAGAGATGTACACATGCAGCCATCACTTCTCCCATTCAAAATGAATGAGAGGCGAGGTGTAATAGAAGGAATGGGGAGTGTTCTCTTGGCTACACAAAAGAGCTGGTGAACATATGAATTCTTCAGAGCAGCGGTTGCTTTGTTTTTTGCTTTTTATTTTGACAGAAGCGCTCTTCTTAAGAGATATTTGCTTTTGGACGGAACAAGAAAGTGAAGTGATGCAACAACACGATTCTGGTTTGAGACTCGTTTGCAGTTGCCCCGCGAACTGAACCTACGTCAAATAGTTTCGTAACAGAAAGGTCGTCACACCTCCGTGTCAGTGCAGACGCCGTTGATTGGAGTCCGGCCACGCTCTTAAACCATCAGCCTGTATATTTGGGGAGTTTTTGATGGAGGGAGAGTAGAGGCTCTTTTTAGAGAGGATTATATGAAGTGAACATCTTTTGTAAAGAAAGACCTTTTGAGGTTGTGCTTTGCTCACAGCAATTTGGGACCTCTTGATCTGTGTGCGTGTGTGTGTGTGCGTGCGTGTGTGCCTGTGTGTGTGTGAGGCTGTCGCGTGCTATTTGGTCTAAACAGAAAGTACATCTGAAGTTAATGTGAATGTGATTCGTTTTGCAGGTATTTGGTTATAAACTAGGGGTAATCCATCCCAAAGTTATTGGGATCTATATTTGTCGGAGTCCCTTCTCCCTCACAAATAGCTGCTAGGTGACCCTCAGCATGTGTGACAAGTTTCTGTTAATCCCCAAAATCTTGCAAGCTGAAGTCCCCATCTCTCCGAGACTTAATGCTCAAACCTGTGCAGGACAAGCCGGGTATTGGCTTCACCGCTGTTGCTCCCACAGGACGGGAACGGGACCCGCAAGCAAATACCAGCGACCCGCCCTGGGAAGTCTCCTGTTACAATTATTTCACCGTGAGCTGCTGACCTTGTCGTTACTCCCTCAGGCCAATACTGGGCTGTTCTGTTTGGAATAGATCGACGGGGGGGGGTCCCACGTCCAGGATTAACACCTTCTCAACTTCAACGTTAATTATGCCGGTGTGTCAACACCTTCTCAACTTCAACGTTAATTACGCCGGTGTGTCATCACTGGGGAAGTGAGTGATGAAGGAGTTGATGGAGGGAAGGACTGTTGAAATGAGGCAATGAAGGAACACTCAATTTTCACCTCCTACAAAACACCCTGGTAGACCCTAATACCTTCATACTAGTGTTTTGATATTTGTTTTATTAATACATTAAACACTATACTGTGATGATTAGTGTATAGTACATACTGGATTTCATTAATACGTAGTAATGCAAAAAAAAAAAATCATGTTTCTTTCGCCCAGGCTGGGAGACATGGAGTGAGGAAGAAATATCATTTCATAATTTTGCCCCTCTACCGTCATCTCTAAATAAATATACTTATTTAAATATACATGTAAAAGCACGTTTATGGCTTTCAGAGTTCGTCTTTGAACATGGTAAGCGCCCGGACATTACAGCTACAGTGTCTTGTTGTCATTCCCATTTTATTGCGGGAGAACACAAACCAGCAGAGTGTGAGTCATGAAAAAAACATTTCAAAAAGAAGCCTTTTTGCACGTTTCAATGGATGACTTATTTTTTTTTTACATCAGTTGAAGAGTATCTTTTCAGTTACCTCGAGCAACAAACATCAATTCATGTGCAGCAATGTAGCTCTCACTTCACAGAGCGACAGCTGTACTCATTTTCCAAACAACGCTGTCTACTTCTGCCCATCTTGCATTAGTCGAGGAACATCGTATTGAAGATGAACTGTGTCAGCAGCAGGGCTTCTTTTTTCTTCTTCTTCTGTTTATAAAAAAAGGATTTGTCAGGAGCCTTTTAACAGGAGCAATTGCAAAGTGCTCTCTTTGATGTGCTGGGAAGGAAAAGATGTTTATTATGAAAGGAAAGCCATGCTTTTATTTTAGTGCCGAGTCTCTGTAACAACCTGTAATATTGTAGATGATGTCGATGTCTTTCTATTCCTCCGAATGACTTCCTGCTAATTACATCAATGTCAGGTCAACCTCACAGGTATCACCGTCTTTAATTAAGTTACGTGCCGTTTATATTTCCAGGAACGACTCCATTAAGGTCGTCTTTAGCTGTGTTATGTTTCAAAGCGGCCTCGTTGGTCATCCTCTTTAGGTCAGTGGTGTTTTCATACAGAATGAGTAATCGCATGTGTACAGAAAGCTCTGCTGAAGTGCTCGTAGAGCTCATTTTGTTTCCGCTTTGAACAAAAAGATTTAAAAAAAACATTTTACCGTCTTCAAGCCTCCAATGTCTTTTGATTTCTTTGAATGTAGAAGTGGAGTGTCGGAGGCAGAAGTCCCTCAGACCATCACTGAATCGGAGCACTTGAGCGCCGGCTCTTCTGGTTCTTCCTTTTGCTCTTATTCTCTTCTGTCTCACATTCTTACTCGACGTGTGACCGATGTCATGCGCTTTGCTTTCAGCTTGGATCAAAAAGTGGCCATTTTATGATCAAAATGTGTGATCAATACAGGAGGCACTCCCAAAAATGATTCTGGGTTGGAGCCAGACTTCCATCAAATCCAATTGCAGCAGATGAACTCACCTCTGCTGTGCGTCGCTTGTCAGCATTTTGGCCCGAGATGTATTCTTTTAAAAGACGTCCGTCCTCGTGTGTAATCATGTTTACTTCGTCTTCCTTTTCTTCGTTAACCGAGGATCCTCCAGCGGGTCCCTTTAGGCTGGAACTCACCTTTTGAGAGCTCTCACAGACGCATCGCAGGGGTTTGATTGGAGGGCTTGTTTTCGCAGCTGGCGTGCAGATATTGAACATTAAGTCTTTGCCATTTTCAAACCCATAATGAGAGTTATTATCCTCTGAGCTTAGAGGCCTGAGCTCACAAATAACTGGAAAGTCACATCGCAGTGTTTGTTACATTAGAGCTGGAAAAATGAGCTGATTGATTAGTTAATTGTCAGAATACATCTGCATCAGTTTGGATACTAAACATTCCCTTCGGTCTTTTTTTTTTTTAAGCAAAAGTGTCAGAAAAATGGGTTCCTGCCTTCTGAAATGTAAATATTTTTTGGTTTTCTTATTCCTCCATAAAAGTAGACTCAATACCGTTGGTCAGCTATCAGCTTGGGCTTCAGGAAAATGCGATGGGTATTTTAAACTGTTTTCTTCTTATATTAGTTCAATTAAACATATCGTCCCTTAAACAGCTGTTCTTAAGCTTTCCATCGCATGATGTTGGGAGATAGTGTTGAGATTATTTTCTAACTTGCTGTCTTTCCTACATAAAGACTGAACTTTTAAGCTGAATTAAAAGTGATGCTGTTATTCGTGTGCTAAATCAATACAAACATGTCGGGGGGGGGGGGGGTACCCGGTATGTTGCACGTGGTTTGTATGCCGGTGTTGACCGAAGTCCCTGAGTGCCGCTCGCTCTCTTGTACTCTGAATACCTCACGTATAGATCACCACATGTCCTTCACACGCCTGTTGTGACCTTCCTCATATTGTTTATTCTCTTGTTCATCTCCGGAGACGCACTCCGCGTATACATTGCTGATTGAGCAGATAACAGGGTGTGAATGAAAAGTAGAGTGTTCTGTTTCCGCTATGAACTGAAGGGAATGCAGAAAATGTTCGCACGTTATTTATGCGTACATCATTTCTATCACAAATATGGATAAACAAATATGTGTGGAAGTCATAATACAGCAGGTAACTCACTAAGTGTGCTTAATGAGGCTGCTTTGGTCCTACGTCCTGCGTCGCCATCTGATTCAGTTTGTTTATTCTGTTGGCTGTGTCACTTCCCTGCTGGGTAAAGTGGACATCAGCCCCTGTTTCAATTCACATTACTGACCACTTAGTTAGTAATGCAGCTCATGCTCAGGGTAGAATGCTAAATGGCCTTTGTTAGATGATCAAAAAGGAGTTGGCTTTGGAAGAGATGTAACCAGAGAGTAGGGGAATGATGTTTAGGCTGCCAAACAGACTTGTGTGTGGTTTTTTTTTATAGATGTTTGACCCGCAGCTGATTTTCCCCTTGTGTCTAATATGGAGATACAACCGTAGTTGGCTAAAGCAATCAAGACACTCTCCGGAAAACATATGGGATTAACCCAGTTTGAGTTCCCAAAGAGGATGAAGCCCATGAGAATCATGAATCACATCATGAATGTCATGTTGCTGTTTGAAGGGAATGCTTCTCTTTGGAGAGCTTGCACAGAGACCCGCACACAAAAACCTGAAACAAACCTTTAGCCAACCTTTTGAAATTGTCTTTCAAGCTCTCCTCTTTATTCCTCAACCAAGTATTCCCACCCTCTTGTCCCGCGAATAAAAACAAATGCAACAGCAGTAATGCCTTTCGAGGGAAAGATTGTTCAAAAAGTGTGTGAATTCATTGTGTCTCGCCCTCTGCGGCGGCGGCGGGCTGTTGGCCCTGCTTTGCCCTCGGATGTGGTCTGATGGCATGTTGTTCGCAACTAGTCTGTGTCCTCTCCTCATCCGTATAGTTTAACTAACACAAAGTCATTTAGTATTCGAGAGATGGGAATGCATTGCGAGAGGACGTCACGCCAGTGGAAGCGTTGAAGTCGTTTATTAACAAGAAGTCTGCTCGACTTTCCCTTTATAGCTCCTTTTATTGGCACTCTAGCCACAGCCCGTGGTCTCGGTCACGGTGTTCCGTCTGTCTAACGTGGTTTTCACGCACCACTAAAACCAACAAACTACCAATCGGCACATGTTGGAATACCTCGTTAAATATAGGTCCCCTTTTTATGCCCTTGTTAGCTTATTACGCACTGAGAATAAATGGAGAGTCTGGGCCACGCTGAGAGCACGGGGCGGCCGCTGTCGCAGACTGTTTGAAGTTGTGAGAAATGGAGCTGCGGTGGTGGCGCAGGAGCCATCTCTTCATTTTGTCTTCAAAGAAAGGAAACATCAGACTTTTTAAGAGCTTGAAAATGAAGATATTTCCAGCCGGGAGGAGCGAGAGAGAGAGAGAGGGAGGAAGGGTGAAGAAAATATGTCTCTTAGTATCTCTGCTCGGTGTGCTACTGAACTCTTTTTGTACCCTGCGTGGCGCTACACATGCGATGCAGACAAACGGATGCTTTACATGCGTATCTCAAGGGATTGAGGAACAGGCCTGGACCTTAAAGTGTACAGTAAATATAGACCCAACACACTCTCTCAATCTTTCCTTTGGTGATAGCAGGACTGTGAAACCTCAGACCGCCTCTTCCTTCCAACACTCCCTGTGTGCTTCATCTCCACAGCTCCTCTCTGGGTTACATTTATCGGGCTTCATGGGGAGCCTGCTGGTCGTGCTTCAGTACAGACGTGCTCAGCGAGGCCGTGGGAGCGTTAGCGACGGCCTCTGTTGTCTGTGGGGGAATGAGGAGGAGGAGAGCCCAGAGACACACTGAGAGAGCAGAGGGAACCATGACTACGATTCTACTGAAGCCACTGAAGCCTCTGATCCGGTTTATTATGTTTCATCCTATGCTATGCATACATCCTATTGTATTTGCCTCCCAAATTAGCAGTCTTTTGTGGGCCAATTAGCATAATCAGCTTCTAACTTTGTTAATTTGGCTTCAGTAAGAGTTTAAAAGAGGAGCTAAATGATATGTTAAAGAGATGGAAACGGACAAAGGCAGCAGACTGCAGTTCCAGTGTCTGACTTTCTATATAAAGTGAAAGAGGAAAAGATAAATAAGAGGTGGAAAGGACAATTTCATTTTTATTTTTTTTTAAACTCCATTCCTGCGTGGAGATATCATAAAGTCTGAGTTGCTCATAAACTGTGTGAGAGCATTTATTATTGATGATCTGTCTGTGGCTGTGGTCCTATTGCAAAGGCCATGTGTGTGGGGGGGGGGAAAGCACATCTCTTCACAGGAACAACAGTCATCTTTTACTCCAGCTCAGCCCCACGGTCCACAGCCCTCATGATTGTGTCTGAGGCTTCCCTGCCTTTGTTGCAGTGCTTTTTTACTGCCTGAAACATTGTGTGCTTGAATATAAGAGGACATTAAGGAGACGTTGTCACCCATATTGTCACCCTTTTGTCTGCACGCCAGATGACATTTTTCACTGTGTAAGCATCTGTTACATTTTTAGTGTGATGCCTAATTTCATAATTCAAGTCTTTAATTCGTTCTGATGTTGTTTTTTACAGGAAGTAGTCCAGATGAGGCTAAACAGCGAGGGGAGCGCTATGGGACCACAGTACCTCTGCTGCTGCAGGGCGAGGAACGCAGACCTTTCTCCCAGCTCCCTGCCAGGGTAAATACTCACAAGGCCAGCTAGCATCACTAGCTTATGCTAATGCTGTTGTTTGACACAACCGCAGCATATGACTCTCTTCCCTACGTTTCCTCGCTAGCTCCTTCCTACTTTGTTTGTCGAAGTACTTGTTCGCCCCGTCGGCAAATCATACCGTGAAATGATTCCTGAAACTAGTCAGCCTTTCAACTGTTCAGCGTCAGCAGAATCCTGACGCTTTGAGAAAGATTTGACAGCGCGAAGGAGCCTTTGAACAACCTCGTACATTGTGTCAATTCCGTCCTTTACCATACATGCTGGATTAAAAGATGCACAAATACATATAGTGCAATCAGCCCTCCCTGCACTCTCTAGACTTGTGTTCTCAGGCAGGGAAAACCAATCTGTCCCACCTAGTACAGCTGGAAAAAGAAAATAGTTGAAATTCGGCGTCCTCCACCACAACTTGAGGAAACTTTTCCAGAGAAGGGAAATGCGTAGGTGTTAAGAACTCCCTGAGCAATTAAACATTTTGTTCCTGGTGCAGGGAAGTCACCGTCTGAGAGAGCTGTGTTTTTCTCAGCCTTATGCTTCCCTCTCCAAGTCAGTAGAGAGGGGCAGTGAAGTTAATTACATGAATGGAACTGATCACCCACATGTCACATTGGCATCAGGGACAATGCTGCTTTTAGCGTCATGGAGTTAATAACCAACACAAAGCTCCAGACTGCAACCAACAGAGTTGCAGATACAAAAATTTGCTTCCATCTCATTTTATGTGCGCTGGTTGAAACCGGAAAACTTTACGGAACAAATAAGTACTAAGATCTATTAATTAAATAAAAGTATTAATACCACGATTCACTCAAAAAAACCCACTGTTACAAGTAAAAAGTATTTAAAATCTTTACTTCAAAAGTAAAAGTATGTAAGAATATAATCAAGAGAAAGTCGGTCTATTTAAAGTATAAAATTAAAGTTCTCACTGTGCCGACAAATGGGTTCTTTAATTGTTACATTATATATTATAATATTAAATTATTGTAATTGATGCAGTTGCATGAGAGATTCATTTTAATGTTGTTACTGGAAGCAATTTCATTTTATTAATTATTATACTTTTTGTGGTTTAATTTACTGTACATCAATGCATTATATTTCATGTACTCATAAATAAATGTAAATAAAAAGTCCAATATTTCCCTCTGAAATGTAGTGGAGTAGAAAGTAGCACCAAAATTGTACTTAAGCACAGTACTTGAGTAAATATACTTAGTTACTTTAGTACCAATAAAGGCTGGAGTGACCAACTGAGAAAGTTTGTAGCACTGGAACAAGTTATTCTGGAGCCCTGAAAGCACCTCCAGCTTCATCAGATATGTTTAACCTACAGCTACTGCTAACGTTAACAGAATGTGTTGAGGAGATGCAGTTGTTCCGCAGTAGGCTATCTAACAACTGACCTTCCCCAAATTAAACTGACTCCTAGGGCATCTAGCAATTTTCTTAGCAGAGATTGCACGAAGACTTAAAGCACCCGGGAAACAGATTGATAAAGCCGCTCCTCGTGCCAATAGAAGGTTATTTAAGCAGTCGCAAAGTATTGCAGAGTCTTTGCGGACAGTGACACAGACTCTCCAGACAAACACACTTTCACACAAACATGGACGCACTGAGTCTCAGACAGAGCTGCACACAGCAGCGTATTAGCCTGAGGACATTGGTCAGCAGACCTGAGTCACTGATACGACAATCTGTCTGTTCCTTAGTGACTAAGCAATGTCTGTCAAAATGACATTTGAAAAAGTGAGAGAAGTATTCGGCATCAGGTTAGGTAAGAAATACTGTCCAAATCCGGTCTTAAGCATATTTTTTGCAGATAAAATCCTTTTCTTTGCCAGCTATCTTTAAAAGAAACGTTTAATTTCATCAGCTTTTTCCCATCACGTCATTAGCGACGGTAAACTGATCTCACACAGCGTACTCTTCCACACAAAAGAAGAGCACAGTGAATTTGAACACCTCGCTGAGGAGTCGTCTGAAACTCTTCATCTAACAGTCGCGGTAGCTGCTCCCTCTTCACTATTACTATCTTGCAAATAGTCAAAATAATCTGCTATCAAAACATAGCAAAAATGATTGTTGTCTTGCATTGCTTCCTCTGAATCCCTCATGCACAGAAATGGCTCACTGACAGTGAAAACTACTGTATAGAAAGGTGATCAGTGAATATATTAAACGGCTATTTCAGAAAACATGCCGACCGTATATAGTGACAACAATGGCTTTGATTTCATGAAAATCTGAAGGATTAGGACTTACTTACAGTATGGATAGAACACTTGAGCTGAAACGAGTCCAATGTATCAACGTTTGTGTCGTGCACAGACTTGGGAAGTGTAGGATGCGGAGGCTTTCTTCCTGTTCCTCTCACACTATTGTGCCTTTGCCACATCCTGCCTTGTACACAGCCTCCGTGTCAAACTAAAGGTGAGGTCGATCCACAGGCAGGATGGGTGAGCTCCGGGCACTGCCCTGACGCTCGTGTCATCTTTTCTTTTTTTTTTGTGTGTGTGTTTCAGAGTCATCCTGCGTCACTCCAGCTGCTGGTAAGTGCGGAAGGTGAACAGCTGATCCTGTTGCTGGAGAAAAATGAGTGAGTTTCCTCCGATTTATTTGAATTCTCCGTATTCTTATCCTCATATTCTTCCATACTCAACGTGAGCACGAGGAAACCAGATATTTATTATGTTAATCACACACAGAGCCAATAGATAAAGCCGTGCTCCCGGCTGTGGCTTGCTGGAGTTCTATATGCAGGAGGAAGAGAAGCTGTGTGGGTCTGGGCTATGATATGGTGTATTCAGGGAGGGAGAAAATAATATGTCCCCTAGTGATTGGACTCTTTTATGGTTCAGTCTCTCTGAAGGGCCGAGAGATGAAAGCCGATAAAGAATAAGGAAGAAGAGAGCTCTGAGGACATGCTTATTCTCCCCTGCTTTGCTTTCCCTCTCCTCGCTCCGCCACTCACTTCCACACTGCGGAAAATAACACAGTGCACTGAGAAACGAGGGGTGGGGGATCATTCCGAGTTCATAAATATGTAGATGTACACACATTCTCACTCACAAGCTGTTTATTATCACTGTAAAAAAAGTGCGTAAAGGCCAGGTTGCATGTCCGGGACCTTTACAGTCTCGCATGAATGATGGCATCGCTGTCTCGGGTCTTGCTTTGTCCCAATGTTTCTTATTCAGGATAAAGATATTGTCATTGGAATGATGGACTTGGTCCACAGCTGCTCAGACCTTGTCTCTTTTACGTCCAACACAAAACAACAACAACTCTGAAATATTGTCTCTTACGTAAACAGATGACTTATTAAACACCGCTCCCCTTGTCTTACATTCCTCATCCAAAGCTCAAGGTAACCGGCCAAACACTCACCCACAGAATTCTAATTACTTGACAAAAAAGAAAAGCCTTTTACTTTAATGGCCCCTTCAGAAATGACAAACTCTCTAGAAAAGCTCTGTCCCGACTGACCCGTCCATTCCCCGTTCTCCAAGCGACCGTTAGTGACCTCGGCTTCAGCTGTGAGTCATCCGTCACCAGCCCGAGGCCTGGGAGCATGCTGCCGTTCCCATCCGGCCTGTTCCCCGTCAGGCCAGATGTGTCCTCTGATATCCTCTCACCAGTTCAGCCGACTCAGAACAGGTGGTCTCTGACCTGTACGTGGGTCGGTGCTGTCGAGGCTGTGACCTTTCAGTCCGAGGCAGAATGACAGATGAGGACACGATAAAGGAAAGGATGCAGCGATGCCTTTTAGTTTTTCTGAACAATTTTACAGTAATATTTTCCAAGCTGGCAGCAGTGAGTCCTGTCATTTTCCTCCATTAAACATATGCACATCGTGCACTCCAAGTACACCAAAGTTAGCCGAACCAATCCAACGTCTTGACAGATATGCTTGACAGTTCCATTGCTCAGCATTTCTAAAATGGTTCCTTTTAGGATTTGAATGGCAGTTTTTTTCCTCCAGCAAGCAACACAATATGGAAGTTAAAAGGGTTTTTTCAGAATAACGGCAATTTAGAGGTGTGGTATATAATCTTTTTTGAACCCTGACACACGTTCTCAGTGTGGATATTCCTCATAGCAGCGACTCACACCACTCTGCAGTTAATCTTTAGTGCTGCAGGGCAGCATAGACTATGTTTTTGTTTTATTGGAGCTCAATGGGGAGCACAAGGGTCAGGTGTTACTGAGTTTGATCCATAGAAAACTTGTTCAGACCCTCAAAACAATTTCATTTTAGTCCAGATCAGGAATGTTCTGAAAGGAAATTAAAGTTTTCGTAGGTACACATTGGAGAAACCAGCTAGATTTCTCTAAATATACAACTGAAAAACCTTGCGCAGTTTTGCCAACTCATCCAATGAAAGTAGCTAGCAGCACTAGCTCCAAAAGTTGCTAAATTTAGCGAGAAAGTGCCTCCCTCCAAAGCGCTTTCTTTGTCAGAGCATTTTATTTATTGATTGCCGTCGTGCTGTAAAGAGAATTTTAACAAATAGAAAAAAGGTTTTTCTAAAACACAACCAACCCTCGTTAGAAGGAACATGATGAAACGATGTCCAACACATCTTCAATTTTCTATTTGCTCCAAAATAGCATCTAATGTTTGAGTACTTAACTCAATGGAAGCATGGAAGCAATACAGTGTGGAAGTCAGTTGACTTTAGCTGCTTTAGGAGAAATGTTGTGAAAACAAAGGTTTAGAGGGGAAAAAAACTAATTTGCAAGGGCAAAACAACAAACAAGCATTAGGTTGTGGAAGTGAATAGATCTAAATGCAAAGAACTCCAGAGCGTATAGCAAGCGGTGCCTCTTTGTGCTGAGTTATGGCAGATTCTCTGTGAAGGCTCATCCATTTCTTTGCATGAATCTGCTTACCCGTTACCGTTTGCTCATTTGATTTGGCACCGCTGCAGAGTACACCTGCTCCAAGGCCACTGTGAAATGATCGCAGTCATCACCAACACGCTACCACATCCAATTAATAAACTGCTGTTTGTTTGCCGCTTGGCCCTGTCCCAGGAAAACTTGGCTACGGCGGGACGAGTACAGATCTACTGAGGAGAGGAATCAGCGGGGTCCCCTGTGCGTGTGTGTGTGTGTGTGTGTGTGTGTGTGTGTGTGTGTGTGTGTGTGTGTGTGTGTGTGGTGGGACAGGGGGAGGGAGTTCTTTGTTTGTGTACACCTTGCAAACAAATCTTTGGTTTGATTTGATTTGGCTGGTTTGTGGAGGCCACTTCTTCTTCTGTCCTTGCAGGCCAATTGGATCTAAAAGCAGTGAGTGGGCTGCTTCGGTATTTCACAGACTCTTATATTATGTGTCCGTTTTAAAATGATCACATTTCAGAATGTTCCTGTTAGTTCAGAGTTAAGTTCTTTGCACTCTGATCTGAATCACAGTGATTCAGATCGGCCCTCTCAGCCTTATTTCAACTGTCCTACATGTCATTATATATGTATATCCACTTCTCTGTCCCACATGCTAGTTAATTTAAATTGGTAGCTTAACACGGTTAAACATGAGAAAATGTTTTCCCATCACTTTGTCATGTTTTTGTGTTAGGTCATAATTGTTATTATTTTTGTGAGCAATGGGAGGGGCCGTGTCATACACAATATTTAAGGCTCGGCGTGTTGTAGAGTGCAAACTGGACGGACATGCAGACTTGTGCCAGCAGCGGCTGCTTTGATGTATAGCATTGATCAATGGCACAGTTGGCCAGCTTCAAATGATTAATGGTGTCCGTATGGGACATTCCACATTAGTCTTGATTAAAGTCTTCAATATGTATGTGTGTGTGTGTGCGTGTGTGTGTGTGTGTGTGTGTGTGTGTGTGTGTGAGAGAGAGAGAAATTGATAATTATCAAAGGTGTACAGCTTGGCCCACTTACATTACACCTCTACATTTGATATCATAACGTATGTATTCTAAGGCCCCGTATTTATTACAATTGTGAAGTTCTCGTGCTGGTATTTGCATTTAAAGAGGTTATTTGTAACTTTTCCTAAACTATGGCAAGTGGCAATTATGGGATAGAGACACTAAATACTTTAACATTCTTTAGTGTTGCAAGTAGGAAGGAGTCGTAAACTCTGCCTCGGTAATGTCAGTCAAAGAGTTTGTTAACATTAGGTTGCATTAGCCCCAAAAAGCCACTGGTGATACCCAGATACTTTAGTGCAACCTCGGAGTATTGAACTCGGTTGAGTTTTTTGTTGACTATTAGTTTAAAGATCCCATATTGTAAATAGTGAAATTCCCATGTCTTTGTCTCTGAATACTGTGAAAGTATTGAAACGCTCAATCTATGGAGAAATACACACAGTCCATAAAAAAAGAAAGCATGTAGACATGTTCTAGTGGAAACCCCAAATGCAAGTATGAACCTGAAAATTAGCATAACATTTACTTTAATGCATACAAGACATATTGTCACTTTATTAATACTCCAAGGATGCTGTTTTTTATTCAGTTACATTTCTTCAGCCTTTCTCCTTGAAGCTGAACTGGCGCTCTGCAAAAGACGCCGCGTTTCCCAGTGAGAACATTTCCTTTCATTCTTCTGAGGCAGGAAAGAAAAGAGGAAAGAGGCCTTTTGAAACACACGTCCACCTCGAAACAAAACCATTATGTTTTTGACCAAAACAAAAAAAATCCTCGGTGTGTTTTTCTATGGGAAAGAAGATGCACTCCATGTCAATAACATAGCTGACAATGCCAATACTTTTCTCATTGTGTGGTACCACAGAGGAGGTATAATATTACGCTGTCCGTTCAATGAGGAGGAGCTCAGACCGAACAAAGAGAGATCCCCAGGTTTCCTTTGCACCCTAATTGGATCTGTCAGGAATATGAAATAGGTTGCACTGTATGTGGCTCTGTCTTTTAATGGCGCTATGTATGTAGAATAAAAATTGTCCGCTAGCTTGTTAGGCTGTCGACTCTGATGCCTAATGGGGTTGTAGAAGGTACTTTAATACGCGTAACTAGTGTAATGATGGCTCTCCGTGGCGTCTACAGTATATACAGCCCTGCTGGCTTAATGGCCTGCATGAGGACAGGAAATGGAAAGCATGTTGAGCAGCAGCTAACTTCACGAGCAACACTTTGGCAGTCGTCTTCTTCTTCTGCTGCCCCTTGCACCAACTCTTCCATCATTCCCTCGTCCTCTGTTCCCACGTATGTCTCCGGTATTATCGAGATATGTAATGACCTATGTCGCTGCAGACGTTTTTGGCCATGTCGCCCATGCCCTGGTCTGTTGTGACGCTCTCTTCCTGTGCCATGTCTTTTTTCTGTCTGTATTCAGGTTTTTCCTACCCCACTCCTCTCGTGTCTGTCTCTCCCACGCTCTCCACGTGCATGCTTGTGCCGTCAAAAGCCACCGGCAGCAAACGGTGGACCCCAGGCTGCTGTTTGGTGCCAACACATGTGCCCTTGGACTTTGGTGCCAAGTCTCTGTGTGACTTTACTTTGGATGCCAAGGTGTTTTGTTCTGCCTGTCACAATCAATTCAGACATTATAACAAGGTTAAACACCAGGCATCTACAAGCGAGTGGTTTCTATCAGCAGGTTTCA